TGGGGGGGTGGGCGTGGCGTTTGTGAGTGGGGCGTGGCTGGGGGGCGCAGGGGGTGCAGAGCGGCGCAGGGGCAAGGGGTGCACAGTGGCATGGCGCAATGGACCAAGCACACCCACACAATGGGATGCAGAGACAAAGGTCCGCCAAGACAGGCTTCCTGGGTGCTCCCAGCGGCAAGCCTCACCGGCGCCGCCCACGAACAGCGCAGCGCAGAGCGCAAGCACCACCTGCGCAGCAGAGTAGCGGATTAAAACACTGCTCGGCATACTTGGCGCTTTTCGTGCGGCCTCACTACACGAGCGGGGTCTAATGCTGTCCCGGAGGCGCGTTGAGCCGACAGGGCAGGGAAAGCGCACCTTAGACGTCCTCATGTTGAAGCTTGTATGCAAAAGTGTGTATTACAACTATGAGGCGACAAACTTCTGGCCTGAGTGAAGCGTTAGAAACAGGAAAACGCAGAACACCCCCATCGTCGGCTGCCTTCGCCGTTCCGCCGGGTTACTTGTCACCCATCAGTAATTTCCGTGGTGACTCAATCGCGGACGCGTTTCGCGAATTTTGTGCGATTTGTTACATGTCCAGGGCTTTCCTCCATGCGCCCAGGAATGGCACAGGTCTGCGCCACCCCTGGCCGCTGGCAACTGGTGCCGACCAGGATGCCAGCACACTGCGGGACCCCAAAGCGTCGCTCTAAAATATACAGCTTGAATACATCAACCGTGCCACCTGCAGTGCTGAAAGCAATGCGCGCAGCCCTCGCATACGAATGATTGTGCTGCTTTTGCTCTGCGCAACAGCCACCAGCGTATGCGACAGTCGCTCGCGCGTGCCGTCGTGCACGCCGTGTGCGCACCAGCCCCTGGGCTGGGTCACAGCCAGCAACACACACAAACACACACACACACACACACACTCACATGCCAGACCTCGCACCGAAGCACCGGAGCGGGCGTGCACGAGCAGTGCCCCCGGCCCACGGCACTCGGCGCCCGCCACGCTTGTGCGCGCACCTCGCCGCCGCACGCCGCCCGCCGAGACCCGCCGTCAGCCGCCTGCAGCCCGCGGCCCGCGCGGCGCGTCAGTCTACGATGCGCCCCGTCGGCTGCCGCAGCATGGCGAGGTGCGCGATGTCCGCCACGGACAGGTGCATCTCCCTGCCGTGCAGGATGCTGCGGTTGTTGAGGATGAGGTCAACGGCCTCCTCCTTGGGGCAGCCCAGCTCGTAGCTGATGGCGCGCAGGCCCAGCGCAAGAGACTCAGAGTTGCGCTGCGGGGGTGGGGGGCGCGGGCAGCCGGCGGGGCAGTTAGCGGCGCGGGCGGCGAGCATTGCCGGGACGCAGTGGGGGCAGGCGCGGGCGGGGGGCAGGCTCCCGGGATGACATACCCTCTCGCTTGGTCCAGCTTGCCCCAAGGTGCTCTTCCACTGATGGAAGCTAAGCGGCCTGGTCCAGGCAAGCACAGCGCGCGTGCCTCTTCCAATCAGGCAATCGTGCGCACGCACACAACGCACCCCCCGCACCCCACCCCGCACCTTGGGCTCCAGCAGCAAGTTTGGCTGTATGGCTGCCATGCGCTTGGCCTGCTCGAGGGTGACGCCCACACCAGCTGCCACCTGCTCCACGCGCGACTGCGGAGTGAGGGGTGGCGATCGTGTTGTGCAGCATTAGTCGACGACCACCACGCGGCAGCAGCCAGCCCCTGTCGGCACGCGCTTGTCAAGACACAGCACTCAGGCACCTACCCTGCAGCACCACACAAGACTGCACCGATGCAGACGCACGCAAGCAAGCACGCGTGTAGGCAAACGCTGTCAAAAGCAGCGCTGCACGCCCGACACCACATACGGGGCATCCCTGCGAGTGTACCCGTGCCCCCCCAGACCTGGAGCTCGGCCTCATCAAGCTCCAGCAGTGCCTTCTTCTTGAACCCCAGGGCCTTGGCCTCTCCCAGGGTCACACCCAACACGCTGGATATGCGCTCCAGCTGGCCGCGCTCTGAGGGGCCGCGTGTGAACAGTAACGCGCTTGCGTCAGTGAGGACGGCTGCGCTTGCCTGTGGCCCATCAGCCGCATAAGACCCGCAGCACCGGCCTGCTCGATGGCATGCAAGAAAGCAGCAGCCTCTGCCCAGAGGCGCCAGCAGCTGCCACTGCTGCCGCAGACCGCCCACTGTGGTCACGACCCTACCCACTGTGGTCACGACCCTACTCACGGTCGTCAGCTGTGGCCCACGGCTGAGCCGCGAAGAGCTCCGCCACCTTCGCCACATCTAGCGTAGGCTGCTGCTGCTGCTTGCCATCGGGGACAGCCCTGGCCCGCAGCGCACGCTTCGGGGGCGCCAAGCCTGGGCATGGTGCTGTCGGACCGTGCGCATGCAGCGAAGCAGTGGTGGCGCTGCATTTTCATCCGTTTGCATGCACGGCATGACACCGCAAATAAGCAAACAAACAGCCTTGTCTCAATCATTGAAGCGCGTCGTGCTAAAGCTCACCTGCTTTGCTGTGATGACCGCGGGGAGAGCTGATCTGGTGGACCTGCGCGCCAGCGAGCGTTAGTCAGCACCAAAGCGGCTTTAGACGCACTCCAGAAAATTTGACTCCGGCCACGCACTCTCAGCGGGGCTCCCAAGACAGACGGGTGCATGTTTGTGGCCGTGAACAAGGATTTCCGAATAATGTGTTGAAAATGTCTCTGTTTTGTAAGAAGTATGTTTGATGTGTGTAGTGCAACACCCGCGCGTGCTTGTTCTCTAGTGTCGGCGCCTTGCCAACCAGCTGAACCACTGTACTTCCTGCACAGTCGCTTGCAGACCCGGGGAAGCGGGCAGATCTGCCGTTGAAAACACTTTTACAGTAGGTAGTATGAGTATACCGCAGCTGTCATCATGCACCATCCCATGGGGCACCTGCAGCACAGCAAGGGCAAGTTTGTCACTGGTGGTTTCCTTTGCAACGCTTGGCGGACCATCAACGCAGCAGCGAAATGCCTGTTTGTTACATTCCGACCTTACTGGCAGTAGGGATATGGCATGCAGGGTTCCTGTTTGGTGCACATTTGTGTGCCCCTAGGGATTGTACGACAAGCCACTTGACACTGCCAGCTGCACCTCGCATGCAGGCCTGGTGACGAGTGTGTCCAAGATGAGGTTGACCAGGTTGTCGGGCACCTGGCGCAGGTCTGCGGTGAACAGCAGCATTGGGGGAGTGCAAAGGCAAGGTGTTTAGGACAGAGGGAGGTGGTCAGCAACTTGTGTCTTTGTGTCAGCATGGTGCCTGCCTTGCCAGGGGGAGCGCTTGACGAACCAGCAGCACAGGCTTCCCAAGTGGCCGGCCAGGCAGGCAGGCAACGTGTCTCACCTGAGGGCCGTGGGACCTTGCAGGCCAAGTTGTCGATCTCACTACCAGCCAGGGGCCCCTGGGGAACGGGGACCACGGTGCCGTTGAACACGCCCAGGGTGTAGGGCGGGGGGTCCTGCACCACTCGGGCCAGGCGGCGCCTCAGGAAAGGCACCGTTGCAGGGCCCGCGGGGTGGGGCCGCGCCGCGGCCGTGGCCGCCACTATTACAGCTAGCAGCAGACAGGCGCTGAGGACGGCCCGCGTGGCTGGCATGTTGCTGGTGCTTGGGGTCCGCAGTGGCGCTGCAACCCCTGCCACGGGTGGGTTCGAGCTCACAAGCAAGGGCGGCCAGGCTGGTACGCACAGTTGGATGGAGCGGCACGGACTTTGAGCATCTCATGTGTTGTGAATCCTTGGCGTTCTCATGTGTTGTGAATCCTTGGCGTTGTTTGTTGTCACTGTCGACACCCGGCCCTGGATTTTGCGCGAATGAAACCGTTGCCCGAGGCTGTCGAAATTTGTCACTCGGTGCGATGACATAAGATTTGCGCGCCTTCAGTGCAATGTAATTTGGTACATCAACTAGGGAAACGCACTCAGCCAACAGATGGGAACCGCTTGGCGCGATGTTGGAATTTCGGCACACCCACTCTACCGTACGGTACTGGAACGCCCCTGCGGACAAAGTGCGACCACCAACGCGCCCCGAGGCTGTGGGCTGATCAGATTTGTTAAGGATGATCCTTCATCACACATCCTGTCCTGACTGACAGGTGCCTCACAAGTCAGAATTCAGATCTTGAGGTGCTGGTGCTGGCAGGCCACAAGCGCCCAGGGGCCCCTCACCCGCTAGGCTGAGCGGCGTTGAGCACCTGCACCTAGGCCTGCAGAGCGGGCAGCACTCGGACTGCGTTAGGCAGTAATCGCGCGCCCTCCCTCTTTTGGCTGATGATCGTTGCGTGCAAGCCGTCACGACCCCAGAGGGGCGTTCGTCGAAGTCGTCGGCGATGTGGCTGACTGGCTGCGGCTGGTAGCTTGTGAGAAAGGGAACATCCTCTAAATTACAATGCTGCAATTATCTTGGCGCTTTGAGATTGGCGTTTGGGTTACTGTACTGTGCAGGCTCAAATCACTTCAGGGGCAGCAGCCTGACAAGAGCAGCAACGCACAGCGAATCCTCTCACACATCAGCGGAAGAGGGCACTCGAACCAGCAAACTACCAAGAAGTGGGAGGGCACCTCTTTTTTTATGTCCCAGGTCCCAGCAATAGCGGCTGGCCCACCTCCTGGAGACCCGCGGCCGCCTGCTGCCGCGTTCACTCGTCTTTTCCTCGCAGTGCGACCTCCGCGGCCTGCGCGTCGCGCCGCCGCCGCTGCCAGCTGATGGCGGCGTGCGCCCAGCCGCCAGCAAACGCGAGGGCGCCGACCGTCGAGTGGGACAGGACGCGCCCGTTGAGGGCGTGCTCCACGGCGCGCCAGACAAAGGTGATGGTGAATGTGGCGGCCAAGACATACCTGCGAGCACGGAAGCGTGCCATGGATGCTTGGGTGGGGGGAGTGCCCAAGGGGCTTTGCAAAGCGCGGGGCAGCCGGGCCAGCACCAGTGCCCTCCTTGTCAAGCGGCTCCCCCTGTCCATGATTCAACACGCAGTCAGTCCTATGAGCGCCCTCCTAAATCTCCTTGCACCTGCACGCTGTCGCGGTCGCGCCCTGGCATGCCCCCGGCCGCGCCGCGAGCGCCCGCGCCGCCCCCACCGCCGTCCAGGTGCATCGCAGCGCGCCACACAGCCGCGCCAGCAGCGCTAGGGCAGCGTACGACAGCGTCATCAGCGCAGTGAGCGGCAGGGGCTGCGCGAGGAGGCGCTGGGGGAAGAGGCAGGCCAGCGCCGCCGCCGACGCAAAGTGCATCTGCGGGGGCGAGGGGGGGGGGTCGGGTGTACTGCGTGACGGGGCAGAGCCGGTGCCTGGTCAAGCCAGCCACATGTGCTGATGCCTGGGAGGGTTTCTTTGCAGGTAGTGGCAAGGGCGTGCGTGCAGGCCAGGCGCTGTCCTGCCGCACGCATTGCTGGCGAGACCATGTTACGCGTGCGGCTTGGTCCGTCGCGTGCCTCCACCAGCCTTGCTGGCCGAGCGCCTTGAAAGGCAGCCTTGCGCGCGACTCCCCACGACTGCAGTCCGCTGTGCTGCAAACCCAAACCCCTCGGAGTCCCGGCTAGGCTCCCAGTACAATGCACTGCGCACACGTCTGGGGGGCCCCCATATGCGCCCGCGAACGCCCTTGCGACCTAGACATGCCCTCACAGGGGGGTGAGGGCAATCTCATATCGTGATGTGCGCAGGCACGCGTGTGGCGTAGCGGCGCACCTGGTGCGCCGTGAAAAGCAGCGACAGCGCATGCTGCGCGTGCACCGGCGCCAACGACACCTTGTCACCCCGATGCCGCGGCGGCACCACCCGCGCATTGGCGGCGATGAAGTGGACCAGCAGCAAGAATGCTGACGTGGCGCCCGTGAAGCGCAGCCCGTAAACAATTGTCTGCTCCAGCCCGCCGATGGCATCTTTCAGTATCAACAAGTAGGGGGGCGCCGCCAGGCCCAGGGCCGCGACGGCCTGGCAGTAGAGAGTCAGAAGGTCGTTGTCGTTGTAAATCAAGAACCTGCCGGGAAGGTGGGGTGTTTGAGGTGCGGAAGGGTTGTGGCGTCGGGTTGGGGATAGGAGTGCCGGGACATGCGCACGGCCGGGCACGGCTGCAAGGACTCCAGACCCCAGCAATTGGGCCAAGGAAACAGGTCCCAGGTGGGATCTCACGTCGCCGGGTTGTAGCCCTGGCGCATCATGGCGACAGGCGGTCGCCGCAGCCGTCGGGGCGGTGAACAGGCTAGCAGAGTGGCCGAGCACGGCGCGCAGCTGTGCAGGGCGCCGGTCGAGCGAGAGGCGGGCACGCGGCACACACGTGTGTGATCTACCGCAATGCTAGGGTGTGCGCCTTCAGTAAAGCGGCATAACTCTGGGCAAGATGGGCCGCGACACTGCCGCTGGGCGGCGTGCTGCAGGGCGTCTGGTTGATGCCAAGAAGAAGCGGGTGCAGAGGAGAGGGCAGCACGCAGTCTCGATCACCTTTGTTTCTTCAACTAGTGCACTTGGTGGTTGTCCACTGCGCACAGTCGGCCTGTTCGGATGCCACGCCTTACTATACCGTATTATCACACCCGCGATCTGATTGCGTGCCACTGCCTTTGAATGTGTGGGCTTCAGTGAGCTTGCAAACTACTCTGATACGGTGACCATAGAAAACAAAGTCAGTTTTGCAACATGCGACGCAGGACGCTTGGATTAGTGCAGGTGCGCAGGGCTGGGGGATCTCGCTGCTCGGCGAGGTAGTCTTTAGCTGTTCTGAGGGTCGCTATTCATGTAGCCTGACACATGATTACCTTGACCTTTGCACGTCCCGTCAGGATGCGTTGTCGGCGGCCCGCAGCTCGCTGCTGCTGCATGACGCGCAACATGCGACGCAGCGCCTTGGCCAGCATCGCGGCTGCGCGCTGTCAGCGCTGTCATGCTACCACGGCCAAAGCAACGACGGCGACAGTACAGATGGCAACGGCAGCAGCGGCGACGCGCGCGCGGCAGAGGTAGCAGAGGTGCGGCGTATGAGGGCGGCCCGGCGCGCGGACGACGGCCACCCGCCGCTGCCAGAGGGCGCCGCGCGGCGCGCGATGCTGGACCCCCTGGGGCTGCTTATGGCGGCCACGAGCGTGCCCCTGGGCATCAGCTTGCGCCTGGACAGCCAGCGCGCAGCAGCCGCACTCGGCGACGCTGAGGACGCGCCCGCAGCGGCGCATCAACAGCAGCAGCACGCACAGCAGCCGCGTCCGCAGCAGCTTCAGGGCCGCCGCCGGCGAGCGCCGCGCAGCAGCGGGACCGCGGCGGCGGCCCCGGGCGCCGCGGCGCCGTCGGTGGACGAGGCGGTGGCGGCGGCGGCGCGCCTGGCGTCGGACCCGACGCGTGCACTGGAGCAGCTGGAGCAGCTGATCGCAGCGGCGGGGCCGGCGGGGGGCGGCGGGGATGGCGGCCCGGTGGAGGGCGGGGACAGCTGGGGCACGACGACGCAGTCCGCTGCCGACATCGCGCGGCGCATCGCGGAGTCAAACAGAGGTGCGGGCCCGGGCCGTCAGGCTGCGGTCGCGCCATGGAGGGGTGTGGGGCGGCTCAGCAGCTGTGTGCCCCACGCACCCTCTCCAGGTGCCCAACACCGGTTGTCCTGAGTTTTCTGGCCAAACTGTCATTCCTTGCCACCTCCTCCCAGCGGCCGATGAGGCGGCCGGCGGCGGCGGCAGCGGGGGGGATGGCGGCGGCGGCGGCGGCGGCGGTGGCGAGGAGGATGACGAGGATGAGGAGGCGGCGGCGGGTGCGACGGTGAGCCCCGAGCAGGTGGGGCGCGACCTGCGTGAGCTGGACGAGGTCTTTGCGATACTGGCACAGGTAGGGGGGGGGGGTTGAGGGCGGTTGAGGGCGGTTGAGGGCGGTTGACAGCTGGCGGGGCGGTGGATGTGTTGTTGCAGTCTTGGCTGCTTCCAAGCGGCTGCTGGGGTGCGCGCAGGCTGAAAGCAGCAGTGGTTGTTGTGCTCTGCGAGGGGCTTCGGTGCAAGGGGCGCCGTCTTGATGCGGCACCCGCCTGCATGCGACTGCTGGGTAGCTTTCAGCGGCGGGCGGCCCCTTGATCCACCCTGCCTCCTGCGCCAGCCGAATGCTCAACCTCCTGCCGTGCCGGAAGGCCCAAGCCCGGTCCTATCCTCTCCCCAAACACACACATACACATGCGCGCGCATCCCAGTCCGCCCGTCCACACACCGCAGGCGTCGGCTCTCGCTGTTGCACCGCCCCCACCGCGCCCCTGAATTGTGTTGTGTTCGTATCACGTTGCTTCATGACCCCCACAAACCCGGCCCACCCCTTCTCGCAGGTCCCCTGGCTGGACGACGGCGCCGTGGACGAGCGCGAGCTGCGGGGCGTCGTGGCGGTGGGGCTGCTGGGCACCCTGGAGGAGGTCGGCTGGGACCTGCGCGGCGGCCTCGCGGCCATATGGGGCGGCCAGCGCGACGGCGACGCGCTCGCCGCGTCGGCCGCCGACCCCAAGCAGGCGTCGGCGCTGGCGGCCGTGCTGTACCACACCAAGCGGCTGGAAGAGCAGTACGGGCCGCCGCCGCCCGCGTCCGTGGAGCTGGCGGTCAAGGCGGCGCAGGCGGGGGCGGAGCCGACGATGGTGCAGCAGCGCGAGCAGCGGCGGTGCAGCAGCAGCGGTCAGACGACGCCAAGGGGCGGCGTGGGCCGTGAGGGGCTGGGCAGCGGCGCGCTGGGGCGTGGTGATGAATATTGACGCGAGTGTCCAGCCCCAGTGCTGACCTGCCAACGCTGGTCCTTGGGGTGATGGCTGCCTGCTGCCAGCGTAGACCCTCCGAGTGTATGCTATCCTCTTCTTGCCACCGGTGCATGTTTACTCGTTGCGTTGGCACTCGTGAAATCAGGCGACTGGAAGCGGGAAGCATGTAACATTGAACTTGGCTCAACTTTTGGAGTAATGAGTCTAGAGAGACTGGGATATTTCAAGCCGCTAAAGGCAGCGCGTGCGCATGGGCGCCGCCAAATGTACAAGCTGAGGGCGCGGAAAGGGTGCGGAGCGCCTTGGCTCTCCAGCCGGCCTCCCTCGCAGCCGCAACACATCTGAGCCAGCAGCACTGGGGACGGCAGCTAGCCAGCCGCATCAGCCGCGCAGCAGAGTGCCGATTGTTGCCACCTGGCTGCCGAGTCATGTTCAGCCGCCGCGCCGGGCTGCGTACGCCAAGGCTGTGTTGCTCGGCTCCGCCCGCCGCCCGTGGTGGGGGTGCGGGCCATGAGGACGCCGCGTCACTTGCCCTTCCTCTCCACGCCGTACGCCTTGACCTCCTCATCGTTGGGCAGCACGCCCAGCAACCGCGCTGCATTAGAGAGCAGGGCAGAAACCGCAGGAGTCATGGCGCCGGGCCCCTGGCTCGGCCAGGCTCAGCAAGGCGTCCACAGCACAGCGCAACGCAGGGCCGCTCTGATAGCAAGGGAACGGGCGCCTTCCCACCAGGCTGGCACCACCAACAGGTAGCAAGCAGCCGCGCGACCCGGCGGCACCCGGCATTGCATGAACTTGCCTGCCACGAGCTGAGTTGTGTGCGCCACCGCCGCAGTCCCAAACATGAACACGCCAAACCAGGCCGACTGCCGTGGCAGGTGGTACTTGTGGCCTGGATGGAGCCGCGTCGGTTGACAGCGGGGCACGGGGCCTAAGGTCCGGCCTGCGGCTTGAAGACCCGCCGCATCCATGACCCCAGAGGCTCGCAACCGCTGCAGCGGTGCATGTTATCACTTTGCGAGCCCCCGACAACAAAATACAATTCAACGCCCGTTGATAGGCAGCCAAGCACGGAAGGTCTGAGTCAGCCCCTGTACCCAACTGGCACCCGCTGCTGCTGCGCTGCCCTCACCGATGATGTAGCCCCACGGCGCCCCAATTGCGACAGCCGCGCCCAGCAGCTTATAATCCTCTGTCCGATAGGATGAGACTGCAAGGGGGGTGGGAAGACATGCGTCTATGGCAGCTGCCTTGAGACACAGCCGCGCAGGCAATCGCGGCGCCAGCAGCAGCGGCAGCAGCACCACCAGCGCTGCTGCAGCGGCACTCACAGATCTGCGACCAGCTGGGGTCCTCTGTGATGACTGGGTACTTGCGCTCGTCTAGCACCACCGCCGAGGGAGGCGTGATTTGACGCAGCCCGTCTGTCATGGCTGTGCCCTGCTGCTGCCTGCCCGAGCCCTCGGCCGGTGAATGGCTCAGATCACCACTGCAGCCCTGTTCGTCGAGACAATCACACTAAACTGACAGTGACTGACTTGTTCAACTCGCTGCCGCACGCGCTCCCTGGTTGAGTGAGCACAGACGAAGTTGAGCGGCCCGTACATTAATTTATTGCTGGACTACCACACTGTGCTCCGAGCGCTGGGGACATAATCTTAATTCAAGTAGTGCTGTCTCTTAGTCGTCCGCCTGTCGCTATGCGGCACCTCACGCATAGCCCCAGCCAAGGCGCTCGCTTGCGGGGTGCTGTGGTGCCCAACCCCGCCAATCCCGCAGCAATGGCGGCACGACAGCTGCGCCAGCCCGCTGCAACCATGCGCAGGCGCACAGCAGTGGTCCATGCGAGTGTGGTCTGGCGCCAGATGGTAAGCCTCCTAGCTGCAGCATATGCGCGGTGAAACCAGTGGTGCCGACCGCGCAACACATGGTGTGAAGTGCATCCACAGCGGTGTGCACACCCTGCAGGCCAGCACAGCGCATATGTCTGTCAGGGCGGCACCCCTGAAGCGCTCTCAGTGATGGCCAGCGACCGCTCGTCCCCGCCCGCAGGAGCAGACAGGCGCATGGGTCGCGCACGCGCGCGCAGGGCGTCGCCCTACCGCCATCATCCACTTCCTTGGCGGCGCCTTTGCTGGCGCTGCGCCCCAGGTGCGGGGCGAGCCGCTGTTCCGGCCGGCGATCCGGCAGCCCCCGCCGCTCATGGCGCTCCTCCCAGCCACTGCGCTCGCATCAGCGGCCCCCTGCAGAGTAGCTGCAGAGTAGCTGCACTGG